TTAGCACAACTCCATAAAACTCTTCTTACGGAAAAGATAAAGATAAAAGTTTCATTCTCTCAAGGGTGGAAGGGAAATATTTGGCCACGGGTTAAGGGTTATAATAATGGGGTAAATCAAAGAAAAACAATCACAAAGAGGGGATAAGTGCTTAGCACTTATTTAAACAAACAAAAGGCACAATGGGGATACGAAGGATAAAAATATATATAGGGACAGGTTTAAAGGCTATGGCTAAACAAAAATGGCCTAAATCACTTCAAAACATGCAAAACTTAGACATCACTTAGGGAGTAATGAGGCAAGTTCTAGCAAAACACCCATGACCGGAATCTCACATAAGCCTTCACTATCAATGCAAAACACAAGATCAAGAATTAATCCAATTATTAAGTGGTTAACAAAGCTATTGGCAAGGGAATAGATCAAATATGTGTTACACCTCAAATCATCCATCACAAATTGAGATGCAGCAAGCACCACTAAAACAAACCACAAACCAACAAGAGAGAGTAATTGTAACTGCATGCTAAGACAAGTAACTTATTCACCAAAAATAGCATATGAGTCATCCAAGCAAAAGCAAAAATTTTAAAAATTTTAGAAATATTCCGAAAGTAATGATTCCTCCCCCTCACACTTAAAACTTTGCATCGTCCCTGGTGCAAGAGAAAAGAGAAAAACTATAAAACAAAAATAATCACGAACTAGAAAGCAATAAAACTAAATAAAACGAATCTAGAAAGCAATAAAATTAGACTAGAAAGCAATAAATATGAAAGAAATAAAAGATAACATGGGGTGCCTCCCATGAAGCGCTAAGTTTAACGTCGTTAGCTCGACGTTACCTCTCTAGCCATCAAGTGATTGGAGAAGAAAAATCCCCTTCTTTCCATCAACTTTCTCTTCCAAGTATTTCTTCAAGTGGTGTCCATTTATAAACTCTCTTAAGCTCGAACCCTTCACGTCATCATGTAAGGAACCACATTTGCCCGAATCAAGAATTATGCCTCCATTCTCTTTTCCTTCTTTTTCAACACTCTTTTGTTCAACAAGTAATGAGAGTCTCGGATCATTCACATGAACCAGCAAGTATTGGGAATCATTGGATATATAGATAGGCAAATGTGTGCCATTATCCTTAAGAACTCCAATGCCTCCCAAATTCAAAATTTCTCTGAAGTTCTCTCCAAGGGAAGTGTTCTCCATTGGTGAGACATCCTCATTCAGATCATGTGCTCCATTAAGAACTTCCTCATCTAATGGGCAACTCTCTATATGTTCCTTGCCATCATTACCTTGCAACTCTACATTTTCCTCCCAGCTTGGTGTCTCCATCTCAATGCATTTATCAAATATTTCTTCATCTTCCTTTCTAAGATCCTCATCATCCCTTTTATTTCTCTCAACTTCATGACCTTCATTTGGCAAGAGCAACTCTTCTTGAACCTCTCCATTAAATGAATCTTGAAGTGGCTCTTGAATTGTCAAATCTTGCTGTCGAGCCAACATGTGATCGAGTCGAGCATTCATGCGATCAAGTTGAGCCATCATGTGATCTTGTAACTCCAGATATTTCGAGCACAATTGCATTAACTTGGTCTCTTTGGGCTTCATCTCAATTATTTGGTCAAGTGATTGACAATCTTGTTGAAACTCTTGGTACGGCAACTCTTGAGCTTGCCCTTGATACTTGTAATTGGGATCCATGATAAAGCAATTTTCCGCCTCATGAGGTCCACCACATATCATGCACCATGAGGGTTGTGGAGTAGGTGGTGTGCATCTTTGATAAGTAGCTTGACTCATGTTGGCACAAAATCCTTGAGTAGATTGTTGAGGGATATGGTTAGTGGGGTTGAGCATGTAACAATTTTCCACAAAGTGATTCCCACCACAAAATGAGCACCATTGGAGTTGTGATGTTTGATATGAACTTTCTTGATAATATCCTTGACTAGAGTTGGCAAAATTTGAGAAAGGGAATTGTTGTTCCATTCCTCCATATTCTCGATTCATATTCCAACTCATCTCATAACCTTGAGAAGGAGGGTAAAACGGTGGCATGGTTCCTTGGAATGCATATCTATCCATAGACTTAATCACACTCAAAACAATGAACTTGTTATGGGTTAGGAAAATAAAATAAAATAAAATAAAATAAAAATAAAAAAAATAAAATAAAAATGAACTAGTCTACTAGAATAAAGATTTCACTAATGTTAATACTAGAAGCACCACCTCCCCGGCAACGGCGCCAATTTGATGTGTAGTATATTTGCAAACAAATAATTCTCGGAGTACGAGTTATCGATCCACAGGGAAGTGGTTGTATCAAGCACTAGTTACTAGCTTATTCATTAGAGCTAATCCTAACAATTACTTAGATGATTGATTGGCATAAAATAAATAAAATAAAACAGAGGTTCAGGATTTTGAAAACAATTAGAGAGAAGTTGAGATTCATGGGATTCAAGTATCTAATCACCTAGTGCCAATTATCGTTTGCAATATTTAGTTTGGAATTAAGATTTGTGTGGGAATGCAAAGTGGAATCGAATTACTCCCGTAATCTCTATTCCTAGTGAATTTCCACTCCCATGGCATAAACACCCAATAAGATCAAAGATCAGCATTCAATTATTCCTAATTACTACCATCACCCGATGAGCAATAATCTAGAATAAACTTCCCCTAATAAGTTCCCCTTTCCCAAGGACCAACCATTAGGTGCAATCGTGTGTGCCCTAATTTATGCCCCAACTCCCATTGGTGACACAAACATGGCTATGAAGCTAGTAACTATGGCCATTAATTACAAGCATCAAACAATATTATCACGATTGCAACACAAGTATTAAACCCAAATAATAATATATTAAAGAAACTGAGAGCTCAGGCACATAGGTTCATAAATACTTTTACCCAAGAATCTCTAAAGAATTTAGCCAAGCATGACTAAATTATACATAGCAAATATAAATAAAGAATTACAAATTATCAAAAGAGTACAAGAATTAACCAGACGATTTTCCCAAATCTCCCTAGTCTTCTTCTTGCTTTCCAAGACAACTTGTGGCTCTTGATTTCTCTCCTTCTTGTCTCCAAGAATCTCTGAATTCTCTCGGTCCCCGTCCTCCCAATAGGGTTGAGGAAGGAGGGATTTTATAGTGGTTACAAAGTTGAGATGAAATAGGAATCTTGTACCAAATTGGACTCAAATTCTAATTCCTATATTTAAATAAAGAAATTGTCGTCTTTAATGATATTTAGAATTTGGAAGATTCCTTGAATTGCTAACTTTTAATATGGAGATATGAGCCTTGAAATCCGCGCAATTAATATTAGGAAAAAAGATCTCGCGCTTGTATTGAATTTTGCCCAGCTGCGCCACTTTAAGCGTCTGTTTTTTATCCGCGCCACTTTAGGCGTCTGTTTTTATTCCAGAAACAGACGCATATTCGACGCGTCGAGAATTTTCTCGACACGTCGAGTCTTTCTGTGCGCGAATTGATTAGCTACTGGAAAATTTCGACGTGTCGAGCCCTTGGCTCGACGCGTCGAATCCACTAGGCCCCGAACTCATCCAAAATTGCTCCAAACTCATCCTTGAACTCCCCTTGGTCATATCTTTGACCTAAAATGGTTCAAAAACATTAACAAACACCGTAAAATATTCAAAACAAGTGCGAACCATAATTAAATGATAATAGCAAGGAAAACATGTATTAAATAAGCAAAATTAAAGAGCTTAATTACTGTGATGATTCAAAATAACCATAAAAACAAGCACAGATGTGATAACATCAATTTTCAACTCCAAGCTCAAATTCAAGTCCAAAACATGCCAAATCTCACCAAATACAAAAAAAAATGACTTGAATCAACGGAAATGCCAAGCAATGGCACAAAAGAACCTTAAACACAAGCTCTAGATATGCATTTTCACAAGATCATGCTTCAACACTCACATTTCATAGCAAAAACACAAGTAGAATCCAAGAAATCACATATAGGTAAGCAAAATAGGTTTTGTAGAGCATGGGTTACATCTTGTAGACTAAAGACTTCACTTTACACCTCAATAAGCTCCTCACAAGGCTCACCTTCCAAACCCACTTCAAGAACATACCAAAAGATCATAAAGATCCTATCTTTAAGAAAAGACACCTTAGGTAAAACCAAAAACACAAGATGAACTTAGATCTTAACCTCCTAGATGCCCAAATATAAGAAAGGTTGAGTCTTGGAAGCAACTGTTGAAGTTTTGGCAAGGTTCCAACTTGGCTTGGAAGAAAAGCTACTCACCTTTTTAGAGAGAAGATGGAGCTAGATTTTTAGAAAAGTGTAAGGAGAGAATGAAGGTGGTCTACTAGGTTAGGTTACAATACCAACAACAAGTGAAAGGTCAAGAATACCCTTACTAACATAAGGAAGTGCAAGGGACATGGGAACTCCTTTCAAAGCTCAATGTACAACTTTGACTTTGGGGTTGACTAGTCAATTACTAGTCCCCAACTATTAAATTTCAGGAATTTAAGGAATTAAATTACAAATTTAAAAATGATTAATTACTCAATTAATCCCTTAATTGGATTTGAATTTTGGGGTGTCACATCCTCTCCCCCTTCAAAGAAGCTTCGTCCCAGAAGCATGGGTACGACGAATTAAAGGCAAACGGTGAAAAGAAACAACATTGTGACAGGAAGTTCAAGAACAAACTCTTTTGGTCAAAAACTCCAAAAGATTCCACAAGGTTCCAAGGCAAAGAAGTATTCCAAAGCAAGAAAGAAGGTATTTCAAATCAAGGATTGGCAAGAGTTTAACAAACGTATAGATTGAGCATCAAGAACTCTAGCCTCAACACAAACACCGACTTCTAGACAACAACCAAGAACTAGACAACTAACTCCAAACACCAACTACTAAGCTAGCTAAACAACAAAGCAACAAGCAAAACAAGCACACATGGCAAGCAACAAACAATGAAGACGAGGTACCTGCTGAGAACAACTCTGGATACCGCTCTCGCATGGTGGACTCCAGCTCCCAAGTAGCTTCCTCAACCCCGTGATGCGTCCACCAAACCTTCACCATCTTTACAGACTTCCTACGGGTGTCCCGAGACTTGAAATCCAAAATTATGAGCGGCCTTTCCTCATAGGTCAAGTCCTCATCTAGCGGTATCACTTCCGATGATAAGACATGAGTTGGGTCGTGAACATATCTCTTGAGCTGCGATATGTGGAACACGTCGTGCACCCTCTCCAATTCCAAGGGCAACGCCAGGCGATAGGCTAAACTTCCAACCTTCTCAAGGATTTCATACGGACATATAAACCTGGGCTCAACTTTCCTTTCTTTCCAAACCGCATCACTCCCCGGGTGGGAGATACTTTCAACCAAACTTTATCCCTAACCAAGAAATCCACTTGCCTTCTAGCCAAATCGGCGTAGGATTTTTGGCGATCTTGAGCCGCTTTCATCCTTCCTTGAATCTGTTTAATCTTCTCGGTTGTGTCAAGAAAATATTGCGGCCCCAACACTATCGGGTTGACTAATCCTCCCAACATAGCAGACTGCGACACTTCTGAACGTAGAGGGCTTCATAAGGCGCCATGCGTATGCTCGAATGATAACTGTTGTTGTAAGAAAACTCGATTAAATCCAAATGGTCCTCCCAACACCCTTGGAAATCTAGCATAAAAGCTCTCAACATATCTTTGATCGTTTGTATAGTCCTCTCTGTTTGCCCATCAGTAGCCGGGTGGAAAGCAGTACTGAGATTTAATTTGGTTCCAAGAGCCGCCTGCAGAGACTTCCAAAACTGAGACAAGAACCTCAGATCACGATCGGAGACGATGTCCCGCGGAACTCCATGATATTTCACCACTTGATTAACATAAGCTTGAGCCAATTGCGTCATTGTCCAGGTCTCCTTCATCGCTATAAGGCGAGCAGTCTTAGTCAATCTATCAACTATCACCTAGATTTTGTCCTTACCCGAACGGGTCGTCAGTAGACCTCCCACAAAATCCATAGATATGGAGTCCCATTTCCCTTGTGGAACCTCTAACGGTTGTACCAATCCTTTGACCTTACAACGCTCCGCCTTAACCTTTTGGAAATTAAGGCACTTTCCAACAAACTCTGCGACCTCCTTCTTCATGTTAGGCCACCAAAAGTGACTCTTCACATCTTTGTACAGCTTGTCGCCTCCGGGATGGACCGAATAGGGCGTGTTATGACCATCTTCCAAAATCTGTCGTTTCCACCAATCAGGGTACGCACAAACGGCCTTTGTATCTCAACTCTCCATCCTTAGACAGGTCAAACGGTCCCCCTTTTCCTTTTATTAGGTCATCTCTTGCCTTCATCAAGCTTGCGTCTTTTTGTTGCTCTTTCCTGATTTCTTCTAGAAATGTAGGTACCACTCTTAAGTTGCAAAAACGGACTTCCGATTCGACCTCACCTTGCTCTACCACCTCCAAGTCCATCCGTTGGAACTCTTTGCAAAGTTCATCAGCTACTATCTAAATAGAATTGACGATATGCTTCGATTTTCGGCTTAAGGCGTCCGCTACTACATTAGCCTTTCCCTCGTGATGCTGGATATCCAATTCATAGTCCTTGATGAGTTCTAACCACCTTCTTTATCGCATGTTAAGATCTTTTTGGGTGAAGATATATTTGAGACTCTTATGATCCGTGAAGACCTTGCAACGCACCCCGTACAAATAGTGCCTCCAAATCTTCAAAGCAAACACTACGACGGCCAATTCCAAATCATGTGTAGGGTAATTCTTTTCGTGAACCTTAAGTTGACGCGAGGTGTACGCAATTACTCTCCCATTTTGCATCAACACGCAACCCAGTCCCTTCATGGATGTGTCACTGTATACTTCAAACCCTTCCGTCCCTGATGGCAGAATCAAAACCGGTGTAGTCGTGAGCCTCTCCTTCAATTCCCGAAATGCTAACTCACAAGCTTGATTCCAAGCGAAAGGCACTTCTTTCCTTAATAACTTAGTCAATGGTTGAGCCACCTTAGCGAAATCCAAAACAAACCTTCGATAATAACCTGCTAAGCCAAGAAAGCTTCTTACTTCCGCCACCGATGTAGGCACAGTCCAATCCTTCACTGCCCGTATCTTGTCCGGATCCACAGAAATACCCCTACTATCAATCACGTGACCCAGAAATGCTACACTGTCCTTCCAAAATTCGCACTTTGAAAGCTTGGCGTACAACTGTTTTTCCCTCAGAATCTGGAATACCGTCCGAAGGTGTCCAACATGTTCCCTTTTATCCCTTGAATACACCAGGATGTCGTCGATGAACATGATCACGAAGTCGTCGAGATGAGGTTTGAATACTCTATTCATCAGGTCCATAAACACTGCAGGGGCGTTTGTCAAACTGAACGGCATCACCGTAAACTCGTAATGACCGTACCGAGTCCGAAATGCGGTCTTAGGAATATCCTTGTCTGCCACCTTTATCTGATGATACCCCGACCATAAATCAATCTTGGAAAACACTCTTGCGCCACAGAGTTGGTCAAACAAGTCGTCGATTCGCGGAAGGGGGTACTTGTTCTTGATTGTGACTTGGTTCAGCTCTCGATAGTCAATACACAACCTCATACTACCATCCTTCTTCTTTACAAACAACACCGGAGCTCCCCACGGCGATATACTTGGTCGGATGTAGCCCTTGTCTAAAAGCTCTTGTAGTTGGGTTTTCAGCTCTTGCATTTCCTTCGTTGCTAACCGGTATGGAGCCTTGGAAATGGGTGTAGTGCCCGGTATAAGATCCACTGAGAATTCCACTTCTCTCGGAGGGGGCATACCCGGTATTTCCTCAGGAAAAACGTTAAGGAACTCACGAACGACGGGTATGGTCTGAGCTACATTCCCTTTTGCCTTCAGGTTTTCAACAGAGCACAAGAACAACTCATTGCCTTTCTCCACGTACTTTTTCATCTTTATCATTGATACTAACTTGATCCCGGGTTTCTCCGTCGTTCCCCGATACGACACCCTCTTCCCGTTGGGCCCCCGTAACACCACTTTCTGCTCTTTGCACAGGATTTGAGCTCTAAACCGTCCCAACCAGTCCATACCCAAGACAACGTTTATCCCGTCCAAGTCATACTGGATTAGATCCCTAGGAAACTCCTCTCCCTTGATGTTAATCTTGATGCCTTCAAAGAGACGGTCACACGTCCTAACTTCCCCGGATGCTACCTTAACGTTAAGCTTCACACCAACGCCACCGGTTAAACCCAACTTCTTCACGAGTCCGGGTGATACGAATGAGTTAGATGCTCCCGAATCGAACAAGATCGCTGCCGGGACGGTCTGCACAAGAAAGGTTCCAATTACCACATCACTGTCTCCTGTTCGAGCTTCACTTAAGATAAGCGTTCTCCCTTGAGGTGACCCTTCCGTCGGATGGTGAACCTCTATTCTCCCGTTTCTTCTTAAATCCCGAAATGCCAGTAAGGCAGCTGCACTAGGACTTACTTTTGTTGACGTGCCGCTCCGGATCCATTGCTCAACTACCCCAGAAGCGTCACCAGATTCGGCCAACCTAGATTTCTTAACCACTTCACCCGCGTCTTCAACGCTGCGGTACGCTGACGGGGACGCATCACAAACTTCTACAACAACAACACGGTTACCAAAAGATAACAAACAAGCAAAGAACAGAAAACAACACTCAGCTCACCGCGCAACCTATAGTCCTAAGCCTAACACTTAGATTCTTAAGGTCACTTAAAGGTCTCAAACCACACTTAGCCACTTAGTAAGTCTAGACTTAACTCCTTCCTAGGCTCAAACCTAGGCTCTGATACCAACTGCAACACCCCCTAAAAACAAGCTATTTAAAAGTCTTAAACATGCAGATAACTGAACTAAACAACAAACACAGCGGAAGACTGAAAGATAACAAGATAAACTTAAATCCAAAACAATGGGGTGTTATGCCACGTTCACCAAAAAGGATGAACGCTACGGCAATATCTGCATTGTTTAAAACTAATCCATAGTCTCAAAAGTCTACAACTAAGCCGGCACACAGGCCATAAAACCAGCGGGAAAAGCTACACTAGCAAGCACTAGACTGCGCACTCGCCTAGACATCACCTGAAAGAACACAATTAAACATGGGACGACGTCCGGTCAGCGAATAATGCTGGTAACCCACCAATACATGTGAAATAACATACATAAGTAAGATATAAGTTTGTAAAGCATTTTCGAAACGGAATACATAAGTATATAAGTACAAAACCAAGAGCAGTAGTCAACACAAGAATCAACACTCTCTCAACAAGGATACGGGAACACATCCCAAAGCCACAAAGGATAACCACAACACAAAGGATAAAGACAAGACCGATGGCAAGACATGCCCTTTGTGACTACACACGTCACAAGAAGAGAACTCATAACAATGGCTACACGAGCCCTCGTGACATCACCCATCACGAGTTGATATGCCTTCCTTATGCCTGGTTCCAACCTTATGGCTACCCCCAACCTTGTATCTTCTTCCAACCATTACCTCCAGGACCCCTGTACAACCAAGTCCAACCTTTTCCCTCTTGGACCGTCGTCCCCCACCAACGAGACCACCAATTTCATAGTACACGAGGGTACCGTACACACACACGGCAACACATGCCACCCAAGAATCACGTGAACCTTACACAAAGGTCAAAACTCCATAATCACGTCACGGCCACCACTAGGACCGCTGCAATACCTTGGTGACTAGTGTCCCATACCACTAATCGTGCAATCCAGGTAAAGCCACACACACATCACACCACAACAGGAATCAATCAACGGATCACAATGAAGATATGAAACCATACTCAATCAAGGAATGGGTCACAACCCAACAACAACAACGATGAATAACACAAGTTATCATCAACCAATAGGGGGGTACAAACAACACACGCGCTAGCATTTGAACACCGAACTAGCATACTCATCAAGCGGGTAAACCAAAGATAGTTCCGAAGAACACACAAGACTCATCACGGTTCAACAAAACACAATGTTGAACACTTAGCACGATTCACGACACCGAAACCTACATGGAACCCTACCATATAGTTCTAGACATACGAAACATCAAGAAGACACTCAAATAGTTCCACAAAAGAACATCAGGAAGTCAAAAGACCATATACCGAGTCAAAAGAATCACGGGAAACAAATCCCCAAACAAAACCAACTTGTATACCCGCGGGTGGGCCCACGGGTGGTGCCCCGCCCGTGGTTCCGCCCGCGGGAACACACTCCCACAAGCCTAGTACCCGCGGGTGGGGCGGCGGGTGGTGCCCCGCCCACCGTTCCGCCCGCGGGTACACGTCTTGTACCAAAACAATCCCTTCGTGGATTTTCAACTCCAAGCTCAAATTCAAGTCCAAAACATGCCAAATCTCACCGAATACAACAAAATGACT